AGCAGCACAGGAGCCCGCGGAGAACAAAGGGGTGCCACAGGCCAACCTGCTGAGCTCCCAGGACAAGGAGGAAGAAACCAAAGAAGTTCTCAATGTGAAGAAATCAAGTGAGAGCAAAAAATAGTAAAATTACTTAAGAAAGAATACAAAGAAGATCTTGAAAAATCAAAGACTAAGTCAGAACTCAACTCACCAGCCAACATTGCAACATAAATGCGTTTTAAAAAGAAAAAAAAAGGACAGAATGTTGGAACAGCGACGGCCAGGCCTAGAGTGGCCAGGCACAAGGCAGTGGCAGCCAGACCCGGAGCAGCAACGGCCAGGCCCCAGAACAACAGCAGCCAGAACCAGAGCATCAACAGCCAGCACTGGAGTAGCCAGACCTGGGGCAGTGGCAGCCAGGCATGAGGCGGAGGCGGCCAAGCCCAGGGTGGCCAGTCCAGGAACACCCAGACCCGGAGTGGCCGGGCCCGAAGAAGCCGGGCCCAGAGCAGCCGGGGTGGGAGCAGCCAGACCCAGAACAGCAGTAGCCAAGCCCAGAGCATCCAGGTCGGGAGTGGCCAGGCTCGGAGCGGCCGGGCCCGGGGCAGCCGGGCCCAGAGCAGCCGGGTCAGGTGCGGCCAGGCCCGGAGCAGCAGCTGCCAGGCTGGGAGCGGCCAGGCCCGGGGGAGCAGTCGGGTCGGGTGCGGCCAGGCCCGGAGCAGCGGCTGCCAGGCTGGGAGCGGCCAGGCCCGGGGGAGCAGGCGGGGCTGGTGCGGCCAGGCCCGGAGCAGCGGCTGCCAGGCTGGGAGCGGCCAGGCCCGGGGGAGCAGGCGGGGCTGGTGCGGCCAGGCCCGGAGCAGCGGCTGCCAGGCTGGGAGCGGCCAGGCCCGGGGGAGCAGGCGGGTCGGGTGCGGCCAGGCCCGGAGCAGCGGCTGCCAGGCTGGGAGCGGCCAGGCCCGGGGGAGCAGGCGGGGCTGGTGCGGCCAGGCCCGGAGCAGCGGCTGCCAGGCTGGGAGCGGCCAGGCCCGGGGGAGCAGGCGGGGCTGGTGCGGCCAGGCCCGGAGCAGCGGCTGCCAGGCTGGGAGCGGCCAGGCCCGGGGGAGCAGGCGGGGCTGGTGCGGCCAGGCCCGGAGCAGCGGCTGCCAGGCTGGGAGCGGCCAGGCCCGGGGGAGCAGGCGGGGCTGGTGCGGCCAGGCCCGGAGCAGCGGCTGCCAGGCTGGGAGCGACCAGGCCCGGGGGAGCAGTCGGGTCGGGTGCGGCCAGGCCCGGAGCAGCGGCTGCCAGGCTGGGAGCGGCCAGGCCCGGGGGAGCAGTCGGGTCGGGTGCGGCCAGGCCCGGAGCAGCGGCTGCCAGGCTGGGAGCGGCCAGGCCCGGGGGAGCAGTCGGGTCGGGTGCGGCCAGGCCCGGAGCAGCGGCTGCCAGGCTGGGAGCGGCCAGGCCCGGGGGAGCAGGCGGGTCGGGTGCGGCCAGGCCCGGAGCAGCGGCTGCCAGGCTGGGAGCGGCCAGGCCCGGGGGAGCAGGCGGGGCTGGAGCGGCCAGGCCCGGAGCAGCGGCTGCCAGGCTGGGAGCGGCCAGGCCCGGGGGAGCAGGCGGGGCTGGTGCGGCCAGGCCCGGAGCAGCGGCTGCCAGGCTGGGAGCGGCCAGGCCCGGGGGAGCAGGCGGGGCTGGTGCGGCCAGGCCCGGAGCAGCGGCTGCCAGGCTGGGAGCGGCCAGGCCCGGGGGAGCAGCCGGGTCGGGTGCGGCCAGGCCCGGAGCAGCGGCTGCCAGGCTTGGAGCGGCCAGGCCCGGCGCAGCAGCAGCCAAGCCCAGAGCAACTAGGTTGGGAGCGGCAGTGACCAGACCCGGAGCAGCTGGTTGTGGAATGAACCAGAGCAACAGAGGCCAGGCCCTGAGCAGCCAGGCCCAGAACAGCTCGCTCCTTGCCTGCCCCTGCCCCACGGCTGCTTCTCAGACATGGCTGGAAACTTTCGTGGGAACTTGAGTGTCTGCTGAATCAAGTGATGAAGGCTTAGATCTGGATGTGTTGAGTTAGTTTAGGACTGGGGTGTTGATCTGTGAGTGCCTTGGGTGGGGCCTGGATGAGGCTGGTTGACCTAGTGGGAAATGTCTTTTGTGTGAAGTATATCATTGGGCATGTGGAGGTATTATTGATATGAGAAAATGCTAAGTAACTGATTTACTATCTGAAAAGGGATTTACTATTGGGGAAATTGAGGGAAGAAGAGACTGAACATAAACTGCACCTATGGATGAGGACAATGGGGGATGGGGGGGGACGGAGGGTGGGGTGGGAACCTGGTGGAGGGGGGAAGAAATGAGGAACCTTTGTAATAATATGAACAATAAAGATTGCTAAAAAAAAAAAAAAAAAAAAAAAAAAAAAAAAGAGTTATTGTGGCAACATAAAAAAAAAAAAAAAAAATGTAAAAAGAGCTGGCCAACCTTGATGGCATATCCCCAGTAAAGGGTGTGCAAGAGGCAGCTGATTGATGACTCTCTCTCATCAATGTTTCTAACTATCTCTCTCCCTTCCTCTCTGTACAAAATCAATAAAATATATATATTTTTAAATGTAAAAAGAGCTGGCCAACCTTGATGGCTCTGAATGGTCGGAGCTATTAACTCATCATCTAGTTGAGATAGTGGTGGTTGAGGCAACTTTAATTTGTTAATCATATGTAAATTCTTGTTGATTTTCTGTTGTTGGAACTTCCCGCCTAAGAGATGTCTTTGTTTCAGAATCTCAATAAAAGGAATGGTAAAAGGCCAGAGCAGGGGTTAGTCTTCCCACTAGAGGTGGGCTTCCCGCCTGGCCCCCATTTCCCCAAATTAACTCTTTTCCAGTCTCTTCATTTTAGTGTGCGGCCTTCTCCAGAAACCGGACCCTGAGTGGGCCCTGAACCACGCGGGTCGTGTTAAGGGATCCCATAGTTGTCGATATATTTATTTAGTGAAGTCAAATTTCTAACAGCGGCATAATACTTTATTATATCAGCAATGTCTTATATGAAACATTCTGCTATTTAGGATATTTCCCTACTTATTTCTATTTTAATTGCAGTCACATAGGCAGAGGCCACACAGCTCTTCAGAGCCACGGAAGTTCCTCTGGGCCAGCCCCGCTCCTCACTAGAATATGCAACCAGGGAAACCCAAGGTTACACACTTGCTACCTTGAACCACTGGTATACAAAATACCCACCCTCGCCCTTCCCCACCTGGGAGTGATACAATTTATTTCTCCTCAGATTTATTTCTTCTGGTGAACTTCATTTCTGGTTTCTGACCTCTTGGCTTCTCTACTTTACTAATTGATACGTATGCTGCTGCACAGGTGCTGTTTGCTTTTCAATCTAAAGTCATCTGTAAATATGTTAAATTCAGATTTTCTTTCTCCCTCATCCCTCCCGCTCCACCCCTCAACAGGAAAAGGAGTTGTCACAAAGCTTGAGACACTCAGTGTAAATATATCTTTACCTGGTACCTGGCCTGCCCAGGGGGAATTATCTTCACACACAGTCTCCCCTTCCCTCTGACCCCCCCCCCTCACCTTCTGCCCAAAACACATCCACCCCTTCTACACTCTGTCTCCTAAACCTGTTACTCAGAGTTAGAGATAATATTAAAAATTATCCAGTCCAATCCCCTAACAAACCAGGAAAACAGTTTATTCAAGGTCTGAATTAAGTGGCAGGAATAAAATTGAATCCAGGTCTCTTAAATCCACTATGTATAGGCTGGAGGGTTATGGGTGAAGGAAGGGGACGTCCTAGTTGTTATTCATTCAACGAACGCATTTAACATTCACTTGCTACGTGCCAGGCACTATTTTAGGTGCTGGGGATTCCGTGATGGCGACAGAGGGCTCGGAAAAGACAAAATGAACTGAGCTTTCATTCTCAAAACGGAAGTACTTTGTCTCACCATCCTGGAAAAATCCCCAGCACCCTGGGTGGGAGTGAGTGTTTCGGTTTCCCATGGGAGGGAATCCCATCCTTTCTCGGTTCCTGCGCGGTCCGCAGTGACAGGGCTGATTTACTGCAGAAACCCGGGAGGCGGAACCTCCAGGGGCCCTCCCCGCCTCTGCAACTCCAAGGCTGGGCGGGGCCGGCTCCAGCCCTCACCTGGAATCATCAGCGTCCCCTTTCCTGCGCTCTTTGCTTCCCTGCCAGCCGCTGAAGGACAGACAGAGAAGCAAGCCTGGGCTCTAGCGCCATCCTCTGAGAAAGGATTTCGAGCAAGTTAAAATCCTACCAAGGCAGTCGCGCTCAGTCTCAGGCACCCCAACGGGGGAGGGAGGGAACACCTCTCCCGGGCCTGGGGTCCATGCAGCAAACCGCTCTCATGCTTTCCTAATAAATACTGCAGCCACCCGCTCTCTCCAGCCCCAGCCGAGGCCACTGCAGCGCGCTCTCCCCGCCCGCCCCGCCCGCCAGCTCAGAGCCGGAGCCCTGCAGCTCCGCAGCCGCGCTCCCCGCTCCCCGCCGCTTCCTGCTCGCCTCGGAGACACACGTCATTGACGTGCCAGGCGTCGCCTTGGAAACGGGAGCATCCGCGGCTGGGAGACCCGCCCCTGCCGCTCCAGCCACACTCGCGGCTCCTAGCGGAGGGGAGTCCCCCAACTCGACCCGCCGCAGGTCTCAGCCTCGCCCCGGCCCCTTCGCGGACGCTCCGGTGACCGGGGACTCGGCGGGCATTGGCTGCGCGCGGCGCGCGGAGGGCGCACGGACACGGGCGCATCCTAGAGGCGCGGCGGGCAGGCGCTTTCGCCCCTGGGTGAGCGGGACGGACGCTGCCCGGTCCTCCCCGGTCCCTGTCCCGCGGGCTCTTCCGGGCCCCCCGGATCCTGCCGCCCAGATTCACCTCCTCTCGCCGGCTCCCCGCCGCCCTCGGAAGCCTCCTCTCACCTCGGCTCCTCCCGACCCTCCCTCCGGGGACCTCTCCCCTCGCCCCGCCCCAGTCGGGAAGCCGCCGGGCTGGACCTGCCCCAGAGCGGCCACCACCGCCTCTGCCGCTCCATGGAGGACGGGCTGCTGGAGATCATGACCAAGGACGGCGGCGACCTGCCCGCGCCCCTGGAGGTGTCCGCCGTGCCGGCCGTGGGGGACGTGATCTCGGGCGAGTACAACGGCGGCATGAAGGAACTCATGGAGCACCTCAAGGCCCAGCTGCAGGCCCTGTTTGAGGACGTGCGGGCCATGCGGGGGGCCCTGGACGAGCAGGCCTCGCACATCCAGGTGCTCTCGGACGACGTGTGCGCCAACCAGCGGGCCATCGTCTCCATGTGCCAGATCATGACCACCGCGCCCCGCCAGGGCGGCCTGGGCGTGGCCGGCGGCCACGGGGGCTTCCCGGGCGCCCCCCAGGAGCCCGAGACCCCTTCGCCTGGGATGGAGGACGGCGGTTTGCTGGATCGCGACCCTGAGGACGAGGAGGAGGAGGAGGAGGACGACGACGACGAAGAAGAAGAAAAGGAAATGCCCCGCTCCTCCACACCCACTAGTCCCTTGGAGCGCTCCGAGAGCCCCTGTGCCGGCCTCCTGGCGGGGGACGGGCCACTTGTGGAGTCGCTCGAGCTCCCCGACATCACCCTGCTGCAGCTGGAGGGCGAGCCCTCCCTGTGAGGGGACTCCGAGGGGCACCGCTTTCCCGAGCTGGCTTTGGGCTCCCGAGTGCATGACGCGAGCGGACTGAACAAGCGCGGTGCGGCACGCTCCACTCGGACCGCTGCTCTGTGGATCAGGCAGAGAGAAAGAGAGAGAGAGACTCCTTGAGGAAGGATTTATAGGGTGAAGGACTTTGGGAGCATCGGGAATTCTTTCTGCCTACCTAACCAAGCAAGAGACGTAGCAAACTGCAGAAAGGTGAGGATCCGGGAGAGGATGCGCTCATCTCTGGACTCCCATCCACCCCCTACCCTGTCCTTCCGCCCCCACCCCAGCCAACAGGAGAACCCCTGAATTGTGTACATAAAACTCTGCTTTTTCTATTCTGGAAAAAAAAAAAAAAACTATGGCAAATAGTCTCTAACGATTTACCTAGAAATTAAAGAATTGGGGTATTCTGTTCTGGTAACAGAAAATTCCCCTTCTGCTGAAATCCAAGATATTCAGCGCTCTGCAGAAGCCTCTCCCCTCACGGATCTTTGCGGCTGCTGATTGGTAAAGGAAGCTTGAGGAGGGAACTGCAGCCCTAGAAATCTAGGAGAATGGGGTTCCCAGGGCCCCGGGCCGGGAGGAGCTGGCTATGAATGTGCATGAAGACAAAACAGCTCAACCGCTCTAGGATTTTGCATGCAGAGCGGACCCTGCTTTGTCGCTGACTACATCTGGAATTGCTTTTTCCACTCGCTGGGTCGTAGAGAACAAAGAGCCAGCTCACAGGCAGAGACTTGGGGGTGCTCAGCAACCGCCCAGATTTAGGGGACATTTGAGGGACTTTTGGGGGCCACAGCCAAAAAACTATCTCTCTCCTGGCTACACCCGCTTCACTTCAGTTCCTTTCCCTGTCGATACGTCCCTGCCCTCTGCCTCTCGGCTTGCCTCCATAATGTCTTGTGTGTTACGTGTGTCCACTTGTGTAGTAGTAGTATGTGAGCCCCGAGGGGCAGGGCTTGTGGCTCTGGTGTTAGGTTCAGGGGGCTTCAGACCCTTCTCTGAGCCCCAGGCTGTCATGGCGCTTTCCCCTATCCTCCCCGTTTCCACCCCTCTCTCCCCAAACAGGGCATGGAGCATGTGGCTGTCCTGAGGTTCCTAACTGATGTGCCTCCTTCCCACCTCCTCAAGTGATGACTTTGTGTGCCCTTCCTCCTCCTCTGTGTATTTCTTCTCAATGCTTTTTTTGGTGTTAACCTTAATAAAGAGGCATCACCCCCCTCTCCTTGCTGACTGGTACTAGGGGAGGGGGGTCAGGGTTGGGCTTAGTGGGAACGCCGGGACCATGCCTTCCCTCCTCTTTCCTTGCTTTTAATTCCAAGGAGTTGACCATACCTGCCCTAGTCAGGGCAGACATTGTCCACTCTACCCGCTTTCCCTTTCATCCTGGATGCTGACCTCCAACTGCATTGGAGAAGGAAAGGGTACATGTTAAGACTCCCAAACCAACAAGGATTTTTAGTAGCCAGAACTCCAGATGTGCAAGAGACCTCTTTCAGTGAAGCACCTAGCCCCTGAGTCCTCGAATGGCATGGTACCTGTTTCATGGGAGGGTCAGGGAGAGGGTATTGTGCGGGAGGGATTGCTGGGCATCTCTGTGAACAGAGTGACACATCACAAAGGAAACTGCAATAACTGCCTCAGGCCTCCAGTGGGGAATGCCTCACCCCAGGGAGCACAGACTGACATCAGCTCAAGTCAGCTCCCTGGGCAATGAGGGTTTCCCAAGGCTGTCCCAAACAGAATTTACAAGAATGAGCTGGGGTGGTGTGTGTGTGTGTGTGTGTGTGTGTGTGTGTGTGTGTGTGTGTGTGTGTGTTCTTGCTGCTGGTTGCTGTGGAAAGAGCACTGGAGTCACAGATCTGGGCTTGAATATCAGTTCCAACACTGAATGATTGCCTGAGACTTTGTTTCTGCATGTGTAAAATGGGGACAAAAAGTTTGGGGGGAAGAAAATGTCTAAGGCTCCTGGGAAGTCTGTGCAAATGTTAGTTTTCTGATAGGTAGTTCTCTTGGAATGGGGAGGAGGATGTGGTAACTGACTTTTCTGGGAAAACAAAACTACCTAGGGAAAGGTTCTAGAAGCTCTCTGATTATGTAATCTTTTCTTATCTAAGGAACTCTTATCCTTTAGGATAGTCAAGTAAAGGGGATAGTAAGATTCTACATGGACCTTTTTGTCACAAATGTCACACAGTTATGGACCAAAAGGTCTCCAGGGATAGCTCTGTACACACAGGATGACCAGAGGAAGCCCTGAGTTGTATAGTGTTTGGAGAATGTGGGTTGGAGCCTTAAAGAGGGAAGCTAAAGTATATTAGTGGGGAAGAATCCCAGGAAATAGGATCCTATTATGGTTCCAGTATTTATCACCATTAACAATAATGATAGCTATCATTTATTAAGCCTCTACTGTGTGCCAGACGTGGCCCAGTTTTATCTCCCAACCACTTTATGAAGTAGGCACTATCATTATTTTCACTTGAAAGTTCCAGAAACAAACTCCAAGACTTGCTCAAGGTCACACAGCTAGTACTTGGCAAAACCAAGATTTCAAGAACCCTAAATTGAAACCATGCTGCTAATTGCTCTTCGGAAGTCTAAGAATCCTGGAAAGGAAATACTGTTAGTTACATTTTATCTTCTCAATTGGAACATGAAATTGCAGCTCAGGTTTTGGTTAGTGACCCTTCTCAGAGTCCAGTGAATGATGATACAGTAAAGACATCAAGAAGGTGGCCTGAAACTGGTTTGGCTCGGAGGATAGAGCGTCGGCCTGTGGACTGAAAGGTCCCAGGTTCGATTCCAGTCAAGGGCATGTACCTTGGTTGCGGGCATATCTGTAATGGGGGGTGTGCAAGAGGCAGCTGATCGATGATTCTCTCTCATCGATATTTCTAATTCTTTATCCCTCTCCCTTCCTCTCTGTAAAAAATAAAAAATAAAATAATAATAATAATTAAAATATATATATATATATAAAGAAGGTGGCCTTTTAGACCCTCCCCTTGAGAGGAAGATGTTGATGCTCCCAGACACCCCCTGCTACAGCTCCGTTTTTGTGCTTTTCGTGTTCCCTATAACTCAGATTCTTCATAGTTCCACATGAATCTCAAACCAGCATAGAACCAACCTCTGTACAAAGTTCAGGTTGAGCCCTGTAATCCTTGACTCCATTTTGGTTTCCCTTTCTATGCCCACTGTCATAAATGGGTTATCAGTTCCTTAGCTCAGGGCCTCTTAGAAGTGCTCCATCTATTCCTTGCAAGTCTAGATAGGTTAATATATATATCGCCATCCCCAGGAAAAGCAAGTCTTCAGCTTTCTTCAGTCACCTGCACCAGCATCTAACAGGGATCCAGCACTGGTTGGTCTCCACCTCCTCCTTTCTCCCTATTCCCCGCTCACCTCTTGCATTTCTCCTTTGCATGGTCCTAATTAGTGAGTTTCAGGTGCAATTCCTAACCTGGGACTCACTATTGAACTTCAGGGGGTCACAGCTCCTTGAAATCGAATGCAAAAGTCATGTAAGTATGAAAACTCTCTAGAGAGAGATCTATTCTTTAAACATAATTCTTAAAGATAAGAATTAAGTTTAAAAACTAAAAATTACTGAGATAAATAAAGAGTAATGAGACTTTTTTTTACTAAAAAAAAAAATACCAAAGAAGAAATTATTCTGTCTGAACTGGTTCTGTATTGAACTGGCAATACGCCCTTGCCTCCTGTGGCCTCCAGAGTATTTCCACTGAATTGAAATGTTCACATGGCTCTGATTACTCACAGCCTACTCAACAAACTCAAGTTATATTGGCACCATTGCTAGAGCACTGCTGATATGTACAAGTGAGAAAATGGTCCCCTCCATAGCTTTGTGCGGCAGTTCATGTCTGGGCTCAACACAACACGGAGTGTGATTCATCACAGTTCTTTCAGTTTCTGGCACTCCTGTCTCTCAAAGGTCCAAGGGAAATCTCTCAGGGTTAGCTCAGTTTCAAAATGCAAACACAACTATGTAGAAATATGCTATAACTTTAGCCTGGTACAACTAAAATCTGCTCTAGAGAAATAGTTATTTCTCGAAGACTTGCAAACTACCCTCCTACATAAATCTGCAGGTTTTTAAAACAATATATTTTTAATATTTTTAAATCGACTTCAGAGAGGAAAGATGAGGTAGAAAGAGATAGAAACATCAATGATGAGAGAGAATCATCAACCAATGGCTGCCTCCCGCACACTCCCTACTGATGATTGAGCCCAGCATCATAGGCATGTGCCCTCACCCAGAATTGAACCATGACCTTCTGGTTCATGGGTTGATACCCAACCACTGAGGCACACCGGCTAGGCTAAATCTGCAATTTTAGGTGTGGCCTCAGAATCACCGCAGAGTATGGTCTCTGCTTGATATGTATAATGAAACTGCTTACCCAGAAATTTTCTCCGAAATAAGGAACAGTTCTTTCCTACATATATTCCTTGCAAGACAGAAAGCTGCTTGCATCTTTGAAAAGGCAGGTTTTCCTAATCATCTTTCCTGATCTACATGCCTAGGAATAGAAATTCAGCAAAGTTACTCAGCTACTGTAAAAAATCATAGAGGACAAAAAGAATATTTCTGACTCTTTTATCCCAGTTACCATCCCCCTCCCCTCCTTCATCCTCTCCACCCTCCCTCTCCCTTCTAGAATGTTTCCAGAGGTGAATTCCCTCTGAGAAGCACAGCCTTTCTGCCTGGAAGCGCTGTGCTGAGACTCCTGCTCTGTAAATAATGCTGTAATGGTGCCACCTGGTGAGGAACAGAAACATTACAAGGGGGCCTCCAAGTGAATTTATGCCTTTCAATTCAGTGAGCCCTGCCAAACGCTTACTAAAGGCCTGGCTCTCTGCCAAGTAGTGGGTGGTGGGGACAGAAGAGGAAATTAAATAAATAAAAGTATTTGAACAATATAACAACCAACTGTAAT